TCCTTTCAAGCACAAAACATGTAGGGAAGAGACCCAAAAGGGGGAGGATTTAGACTATGGCCTTTCGGTTGATCAGAGCAGGGACTGGGTCTTACCCTACTGTGTCTGAACATAAAGGATTCTGGATGAGCTTGAGATGACTCATGAGGTAGAACGTTAAAATAGTGGTTATAAAGTATGGTCATTGGACCCCTGGGGATCCCCTAGAATCTTTTGGAAGGTCCACGAGAGAAAAATGGTTTTCATAATGATACTGAGGTGTTATTTGCCTTTTTCGCTGTGTTGACACTTGCTTTGATAACGCAAAAGAAAATGTGGGTGAAACCACAGTGCCCTAGCATAAATCAAGGCAGGGGTACCAGACTAGTAATCACTATATTCCTTGTGCTTGCAGAAAGGATGTCCTCAAGAATAGCCTTCATAAAGCAACACTACCATAATTATTAGTTTTATTAAATCTCAACCATCAAGTATATATCTTTTTAATATCCTATGTGACAAAATGGGAAGTACACACAGAACACCTTTGCTGCAGACAGAAATACAATGGTTTGTCTTACAGAAAAGCACTGGTGGTAGTTGTGAGCTGGACTAGCTCCTTTTTCATGCAACACCATTTCAGCTAGAAGGAATCACTGGAAAACAAACTGTGGTTATTCGGGCTTGGGTATGAACAGTGTGAATCTATCACTTTGAGAGAAACAATTGATAGTGCTTGCTCTAATAATAAAATGTAAACTTTCAAGGGAAAAGCAGAATTTTGGAAAACCTGTGAGATTAACAGGTCTCCAATACTTAGAAAGTTTTTAAATGAGGTTAGTGGTGATATTAACAAATGTGAACATTTCAAAATTTAGATAATCTACATAACTCAATGAATCAATATTTTCCAGGTGATCAATGCATGATGTTAAAAAGTCATGCATGGGTAAATGATTCATTTAACATGCAAAACAAACCAATGAATTTCAGTGTAACAGGTGAAAAATTTATTGATATGGTTTCAGACTCCATACTGCAATAAGCCTTTAAGAAACTACCACTTGTAGAAATTTGGTATAGCATCACAGAGGACCACAATTATATGAAAAGACCAGTAAAATACTCTTTCCTTTTCCGACTGCATACCTGTGTGATGCCAGATTTTCTTCATATACTTCAACCAAAACAATACTTTGCAGGAGCATGAATACAGAAGCCATTATGAGAATTTAATTATCTTCTTTTAAGCCAGCTATTAAAGACATTAGCAGAAATGCAAAACAATATCACTTTTTCATAATTTTTAAAAATATATTTTTCATAATAATTACATTATTTTGTTAATATGTATTTGGTCTATTATTGTTACTTTAAATTGATTAATTAACATTTTAAGACCTCTCATGTTTAATTTGTCACACAGTAAATTCATATAGATATAACCTACATTTTTAAAAGTTCTTTCATGTTCTCAGTAAATTTTAAGAGTGTAAAGAGGTCTTGAGACCAAAAAATTTAAGAACCACTGGATTAAGGGCATGAAGTGAAAATTGAATAAATATATATAAAGTGCCTGGTTTATAAAAAGCGCTCAGTTATGGTATTCATCACCTGCACATATTTACTGTATACAGGCACTTTTATGTTTGTTTAATCTTCACACACCTCTGTGAGATAAGTACCACTACTATCTTTTTACAAATGAGGAAGTGAGGCACAGAGAGGTTAAGTAATCTGCCTAACATGAAACAGTAAATGAGAGTAGAGCTGGGATTTGAACCCAGATAGTCTGACTCCAGAATCTGGCCTCTCAAACCCTATGTTATACTGTCGGTGTGTGATGGTGTTGATGATGGTAATTGCTGTAAATTAGAGTCTATAGTTTCAGGTTACTAACTATAATTGTTTTCCCCAAGCCTGGTGTAAGGTCTTATTTAATGACCCAGATTAGTCTCAAATGTGCTGTGGGATATTAGGGAATGGAGTAAAGAGTATTAATGGTGAGAGCAGTACCCCCTCCCATCTTTTGGTACAAGCAGTACAAATTCACAAAACTCAGAAGAATCAGCCGAAAAGTCCAGCTGTCCCTCCTTATGTAGAGATTTCCCCCTCTGTCGTCAATCTCAAGGATCATATTGCATTTGTTAAGTAAAATGGCGCTTTCCCTACACATGGACCCAAGCCCTCAAAGAAATGACAATCTAATTGAAGGGGATAAACAAATATATGAAATAACAGTGAGAACAGATGACAGCAGCTAATTAAGTGTTAAATTAACATGAAACCAGATTGAACCTTTTTCAAAAAGCTTCTCTTAGATGATTCAGAAAATACTTAAGGGTCTCCAGTGCCTCTGGGTCATAATTAAGGACAGTAATTATTATTGTACTCCTGATGTCACAGAACTCTGTGGAAGTCTTTCACATCTCAATTTGGCAAGCTTTTTTCCTCCACTACTGATCCTGGCTTTGATGCTCAGTCCCCACACTCACAATAAAGTGGTTTTTTCTGGATGTTTTGCTATGTTGCCATCAGCCACCAGCCCTGCATTCAGGGAAGCTTTTTCTTTGCATCTTTGGAATATTGTTGAGGACCGTTGTTACAACCCACAGAGCTCTTTTTGCAGGTGATGCCTGTCAGGTACTGGAACCAACAATGATTGGACTTCTCTGGGCTACTGGGCTATTTTTCTTTCATGCACATCATGGATTTTGTGTCTGACCAGTTCTCCTTTCTGTTTTCACATACAGGCCTGTAGATGTTTAGAGGCAAGTTTGTGGCTAGCCTGTTGCTAGCCTGGTGGTCTTCTTGGCATATGTTTCTGCTTTGACCTCACTCTCAGCTCCCTTTTAAGTTATTTGCTTTCTTCTTTTGTTCCTCATTGTAATTTTGCTGGCTTATACTTCAGTTATCTTTGAAAACTTTTCTAAATCCTTTGCTGGAATAAGGTGAGCTGCAAGGAAACTTTCTGTTTTGCCACTGACTAGCAATATGGCCTGATCAAGACCTTCAGCTCTGGGCTTCTATCCATAAAATGCTCGCCTCCAAGGTGACTTCCACATCCATTTATGATTCTTAGTAGCAGATAATGGAGAATTAGGGAAAATAAGATGTTTCAGGGTGAGGCTTACAAACTGAAATGTGCCCTAAGGAAGTGTTTGCTGGGGTCCTTCTAAGCCATTATCAATGCAACAGACATCTGGAAAGCAGAGTACAAAGTGGAAACGTTAAGGTCCCAGCACTTCTCTCTCATTCTTACCTGGGCTAAGGACATTTTCACAACTTCCTGAGCATCTACGTTGTTCAAGGCAGGATGCTAGGCACAGGAATGGGGGACAAAATAGGTAAGATCTGACCCCTGCTTTTGAGAAGCTTGGCAAGTGAGGAAGACAAACTCTCAGGAAGAGAACACAAGGGAGGGAGGGTTGAGAAAGGAAAGAAGTACCAAGTGAGGGCTGCTTAAAGGGCCAGAGCTCCTTTAAAATCTCTGGAGCTAAAGCACAGCCAGCCCTGACCAGAGGAGCAGTGCTGAGGGCCGGGGGGCCCCTCCCTGGCTGCCCAGTGGCAGCAGCAGACCAGAAGCCCCTGAGGGGAAAGAGGAAGTTCACTGGGCTGCAGGTGTCAGGGCTCCATTCATGCGAATCCATAAAAATAATAACTTCACACGCGAGTTAACTTATCTTTCCAGGCTCTGCCAAGTTTACGTGCCAGATGGTACTTGCCTCCCACATCTGATTTACTGTAGGGCAGACCAGCTGTGCCTCAGCCCAGGGCAGGCCCACATCTGGCAGCCAGTTGGTTAAATTCCCTCCATATGACACTCATGCCCTCATATCATATTCTCCAGAGCAATTCTCTTTCTATCTGTCACGGTTTTTTATGTTTTTCTCTTCTTGGCTTATTTCTAGGGCTATGTTGAATATCTGTCAGCAACAGATCTGCGTAAGCACCTTTATGTGGAGGAAAGGATGTTCCTGTGACATATAAATAATACTACTACCATTTCTGTAGTAAAAATACTCATGGATAAAGCAAAGAGCAGACACAGTTGACTTCCTATCCAAGAGCCATCCCTCTCTTTTCCCTGTGTTTGGAGGAGCCCAGTTTTATTTGGGGAGGCACGTTGTTCCGGGAAAGACCCCAGCCCCCAGCTTCAAAGGATGTGAACTAATTGCTTCAAGGTGACCCCATTTCCTCTTTCTAGTAAGTGGATTGGGAATGTGAGGGTGAACTGGGAGTAGCCAATGATACATAAGTGAAAGTCTACTAGGGGGTTTCTGGAAATAATTTTACTCCCTCTCCAAAAGGGGGGGGGGGGAGGTATAGCTCAGTGGTAGAGCACATGCTTAGCATGCACAGAGTCCTGGGTTCAATCCCCAGGACCACCATTAAAATAAATAAATAAATAAAATAAACCTAATTACCTCTTGTCAAATTAATTAATTAAGTAAGTAAATAAAATAAAATAAAATAAAATAGAGAGAGACACCAAGATTAAATAAAAACATATGTGGAAAAAAAACCGTATGTGTGCACAGAGACTTGTACCTGGGTGTTCACAGGAACTTTATCCATAAAAGCCAAAAACTTGAAACAACCCAAATGTCAACCAGGAGGTGAATGGATAAACAGATTGTGGTATATTCAGACAATGGAATATTACTCATCAACAAAAAGGAGTGAACTACTGATACCTGCAACAACATGGATGAATCTCAAAATCCTTATACAGAACCAAGAATCCATACTGTGTATTTCATTTCCATGAAGATCTAGAAAAGATCATTCAATCTATAGTGATAGAAAGCAGAGAATAGATGCTGGGGGTTGGTGGGGGGATTGACTTGGAAGAGACTCAAAGGAACTTTTCAAGGTAATGAAAATGTTTTGTATCTTGATTGTGGTAATGGTTATACAGATGTACATATTGGTCAAAACTCATCTGACCCTACACTCAGAACAGGTGCAATTTATAGCATCAAATTATATCTCAATAAACTTAAAATTAAAAAAAAGAAGTGCTCACTTGGGCAGCACGTATACTAAAATTGGAGCAATGCAGAGAAGATTAACGTGGCCGCTGCCCAAGGATGACGTACAAATTCATTAAGTGTTTTACATTTTGATGCAACATCAGATTCTCTATATAGTTACGTTTAGAAATTTACTAAAACCTTTTAAAACCTGTTTTATTTCTCGATGTGTGACATAAATAAATTTAATTCAAATGTCTAAAAAAAAAAATGAAGTAATGAGAAAGCCTATACCTGTCTTCTTCCATGAACATTGTCATGTAGAAATGTATGCTTGGAGCTACAAAATGGCAACCGTCTTCCAATCACAGGACGCTAAACCCACAGTTCCCAAACTGTGTGCTGAGGCACCCTGGAGTGCTACAGTGAACTCACAGAGCACTCACTTGGGGTAAACTTCTTGAAACAGAAGCTTTCAAGGGAAACTTCTACAAACAATGCTACCCAACATCTATCTACTATTGTGGGAACAGCTAGAGCATGATAGTTCACGGTTTTAATATTAGATTACAATAGATTTTTTATGACATCATGTCTATGAAGCTAGGTTTTTGGCAGTTGCTATGACTTAAAAAAAAAAAACACTGTGTGAAAATCAATATGCAGTAGGGATTGAGGGTAATGGTAAAATCTGGGAGGTTTTCAGTGCCCATCAAGGGCACACACCCAATTAATAAGTAGTTGTAGCTATTTGCCAATGAAATCATTTTTTTTTCAATGTATTGTATTTTTTTTTCCAAATCACTACTAAGTTGTTAGGACATAAAGACTTTTTAAATTATTTGGGCTTAACTATCTAATAAACAGAAATCTGAGGTATTTCTTTTGGCCTAGTGGCATCGTGAAAAAAATTTTGAAACACTAAGGGTACCATGAACTGAGTAAGTTTGGAAACATCTGCAATAAACTTGAGAACAAAAAGCCAACAAGCTTAGGAATGCCTGAGCAGAGAGAGAGCGCGAGCTGATGCCCTTGGTGTTGTCACTGACCTGCTGCCCATATCGAGTCTGGAAAACCTACCTTCAGACTTTTTAAGCAGGTGAGATATTTAAATGTCTTTATTGTCTCAGCCATTCTTGCAAGGAAAAATAAATCAAACAAAAAAGAGAAAGAATAATCTACATACTCCAGATGCTGACTCTCCTTAGAAGTAAGGCACTCTCCTTTATGTTCCGTTTTTCTGCATTTATATGCAAATAGTTGTAGGTGGTGTGAGTGTTTGTAATTTAAACGTACCAGTTTTATAACTTGATTTTTTTCCACTTATGCTCCCTTTGAGAACAAGGACTGACTGAAGGAAGCAGACAGGCCTACAAAAGGGCAGGTCAGCGCACAGTAGCCACAATAAAAACATTTTCAAAATTTTTAAACAATTTTGCTCTCTTTTTCTGCTCTCATTTTTGCTCTCTTACGTCTTAGAGAATTTTGAAACTCTTGCTATATATTGCATTGTGTGACTATACTCTTCCACTATTGATGGATATTCAGAGGGTATCCAATTTTTAAGATAAGCATCACTTCAGTAAATACCCTCATAAATGTCTCTCGTACAACCTACCGGTATTTCTGTAGCATGGACTCCACAGAGTGATAATTCAAAAGATGTATTTGAAAACTACCAATAGGCTGTATCAATTCATTTTCCCACCGATGTGAAAATACTGGTTTCCCACACCCTCATTTGAGAGGACGACATGGTGGTTGACCTCTCAGGTGATAAGGATAAACCCTAGCGAGCCCCTTCCAGAAATGGATTTAGGAATGGGCATGGGACCCAGTTCTGGACTAATAAAACCCAAAGAAGAATTTGCCTGAGGAAACTTCTGGAAAGATTTCTTCGATCCTAAAAAAGTCACAAGAAAATTTAGATTCCCTCTTCCTTTGGAACTTACCAGGACTGGACGTGGTACCTGGAATTGCCTCAACCTTTTTGCCACCATAGAAGAACAACCCTAGGAAAAGTTTGGCAGAACAAAAAGAAAGAACCTGGGTTCCTGGTGCAGTTACAAACCACTGAAGTTACCATACCTGGAGCTGGCTGTACTTCTGGAGTCTGGGCTATGTCAGATAACAAATTCACTAACACCTCAAAGCCGTCTGTTACGTTTTTGTGTTACTTGCAGCCAAAAGCTTTTATGTGCCATTCATTAGTCTATGTGAATGGTTTCCTTTTTAAAAAACTTTTGCCAATCTTATGGGTAAAAATTGACTTTGCATCTTATTTTAATTTGTATTCTCTTTTTATTGATAATGTTGAGTATTTTTCACATGCATAGTGACTTTTTATAGTTCTTCTATTGTGAATTGCGTATTCATATCCCTTCTCCATTTTTCTATTGCGTTTTCTGTTGATTTATGAGTTAAGTATTAGGTACATTAATCTTTTGTGTATTTATATCTTGCAAACATTTCCTTCCTTAGAGAAGCATTTTATTTTATTGCTTCAGATCCACCAGTGTTTTAATGCTTATTCCAATCCACCAGTGTTTTCTTTTCTGATTTGTTGGTCTGTGTATTTTATAGGTTGGCCTTCTCCATTTCAACATAACAAAGAAATTATTCTATATTTTCTTTCAGTATTTTATATTTAGATTTTATGATTGGCCTTTTAATACATCACTAATTTACTTCTGTGATGGTGTAAGACTGAAATCTAACTTTATTTTCCAAAAGGAACAGGTAATTTTCACAACACTTTTGAACATCATTTCCACCCCCACTAACTGAAATATTATCTTTATCATAAACTAAAGTCCCATAAATTGATTCATCTGTTCCCAGATCCCATATTCTGTATTACTAATGTATTTGTCAGTTTTTGCACCAAAATCACATTGTTTTAAATACTGAACATTGAGAGCATGTTTTCACATCTAGCAGGGCAACTTGTATCCTTTTCATTTTCTAATTGGATGTTATCGCTAGTACATAAAAATGCTATTAATTTGTGCAGGTTCATTCTGTATCTGGTCAAAATTGTATCTGTATTGTTACTGGCTTACCGACTTCCCATATGAGTTCAGTTGACTTCCCTGTGCTTCTTAGCTAGGTCGTATAAAATATTGCTCTCAATTCACTTTAATTCATTTGACCTTGAGTTTTTTCACCTGACACTAATGTTACCATACTTCCCTGTGAGTCAGCCTTTTCCTGGGAAATACTTTCGCATCCCTTTACTTTCATCCATAGTGTGTGTGTGGATTGCTGGTTCGATTTAGATCTAGTTTTTAAACAGGATTTTAAAAACAAATCTTAGAATAGGGATCCATTCATTCATTCAACAAATATTTATTGAGGGACTCAGCAGTGAACCAAACCAGCAATGAGCCCTGACCTCACAGTGTTCACGTTCCAGCCTTTAACCTTCTCACACACGCATTGTGGTTTCTCTTCTGTTTGGATTTAGTCCTGTCAGCCTGTTTTATGTGTTCTCTTTCCATGTGTCTTGTTAATTTTTCCCCCACACTTGCCTTTTATCAGATTGAGATTTTTTTTCTTTTTAGTGATCTAGAAATTACACATTTCTTTCTTTTTTTTTTCCTATGTCTGTGAATCTGTCTCTGTTTTGTAAAAGAAGGAAGGAAGGAAAAAAGAAGGAAGGAAAGAAAGAAAGAAAGAGAGAGAGAAAGAAAAGGGAGGGAAGGAAGGAAGTTGCTCTTACTGGGAGAAAGGAAAAGCAAGTAAGAAAGGTGAAACCATTCCTACCATTGTCCATAAGTAGATAAAGTTTCCTTTCTCTCTGGAAGCTTTTCAGATTTTCTTTTATCCTCGGAATCTGTTCATTTCGCCAGGATTTTCAGGTGTGTGTTCTTTTTTTTACGTTAGTTCTACTGGATTTCAGAGGTTCCTTTAAAAAAAGATGGGTTGTTTGTTTTCAGATAAAAAGCTCACTAGGACCTTGGCTGAAGTCATCCATCCCTATTTAAAGATGCAGGTGAAAAGTCATGAATGACACGTGTAATGACTTTCTATGTCCTTTTTTTTTTTTCAACCGGGTATGTCTGTGTGTTATTTATATTCTAATTTAAGAGATAGATATATTTTTTAATAAAAATAGATATTTATTGTTGGAGTTTGGGGAAATCTGAATAAGGAATAAAATGGAGTAAGATCACCCACAATTCTATTACTAGAGATTATTGCTTTTAATGTTTTGTGTGCAAAAAAAATAGATGATTCTTGTGTCTCTGTAGCCCAAAGAAACAGATCCTCCATCATTTCCTTCTTTCCTATGTCTCTGCTCTCTGACTCTAGAATTCCTGATCCAGTTGGTGTTTGGGGACTTCCTGGATGGATTCTTTTTGTTCCTTAACTTATCCCTGTATTTCCATCTCTGTGTGTCTTTGTTTGAAATTCTGATAGACTTCCTGAGCCTTATCTTCACTAATTTGGCCTGTTCTATTGCTCAGTCCCTTCACTAAATTTTCCATTTCACATTTAAAAAAATTTTTTTTATTGAGACATAGTTGATTTTCTATTTCACATTTTTAACTTGGTAGAATTATTTCTTGCTCTCCGGATCTGGTTTTCCAAAGCAGCCTATTTTTGCTAATGTTTTGAGTGCACTTCCCTCACAGTTTTTTTAAATGTCTCCTCTGTATTCTGAATTGTCCCTTTTGCCTCCAAGATCAGCAGCTCTTGTTAATCTTGGTACTTCTCTTTCATGCTGTTGGTTTTCCTCAAATACCTAATATGGGTTGGCTGCCCCATCACACTTTGATTGCGAGTAGCTGGCAAGTTTCTTCTATAACAGTGTTTGGTCTCCCCAAAACGTCTTTCCTCCAGAAGGGTTCTTTGTGAAGAGGACACCCCAAAGGAGACCCCAGCAAGGAAGCTTGGGTATGGGGCAGCAGGCAGGGTGGGGACCCCTCCCTGACTGCCAAAGGGAAGAGGACTTTACTCTCCCAATGAAGAACTTCAGTGTTTGCCTCCCGGGAAGTTTATCTTTCCTTCTTCTCTCTGCTTTGTATTTCATGGATTCTGGACCTCCCTTGAGATCACCTTGGCTGTTTCACTCCCAGAGCGTCCAATCACTTTCCTCCCCTGTGTTTTCTTTTTCTTTTCTTTTAAATGGCGGTACTGGGAATTGAAC